GTAACGGCTGGACCTGCCTTTGCCAAAAATGAATCAGCACATCTCCCTATAAATAGGAATCGAATGTTTTTTCAACCGTTTTAATCGGTTGATCCGTGCGCCCGAAAACGTGGACAAAACATTGCATCCATTAATGCATACACACACATCCATTTTTTCTGAAGTATTCCAAAATGTTCAAAAACCGTCAAAACGTGAAAAAATGCAAAAATTTTCAATTTCGATTTTTTACTATTACAATAACTTACTGGAAGTTAATGAAGTATAATGCTATAATGCCTATTTGGTCGCTTGATATTAATGTGGTTTGTCACCAGTAGTTCATATTAAATGATATATGATGAATAATACGAATAATAACTCAAGGCAACTAATCGTTCCAAAAAAACTGAAACTACTGTTCTTGAGATACTATTATTGCAATCATTAGGGAAAGAAGGTCAATGTGGTTCTCGACGAGTTTTGATATTCTTCTTTTATATTAATAAGAATATATTTGTGATGGCTCATTATGTCACATAATTCATTCTATGCTTAGTATAATTTTTCTATGTTATCTATAAAAACTAGAAATACCATGCAATCCACTTGAATCATAAAAATGATATACATTATTATATACAGTGCCGCTAAAAATATTATGGCTGAAATATACGTAGAATGTGCATTAATATAGTGAAGTCTAAAAAATCTGTTTTCGGAATGGCAGGGAATAAATCTTTATTTTATAATAATATAACATTTCAATTAATATATTGAAATATAAATTTTGTTGTATAGGGAATACCGGGTACGGTTGTGCCAGGGTACGGTAGTGACAGCCGTCATAAAATCTAATCTATACTGGTTTTGAGATAGGGTCCAAAGGGAGAAAGATGAAGAATATTTGTAAAGAGTCAAATGTAAGCTTTCGTGATTCGATTTGATTTGATGTATCTCAATGAGGACTATCGTTTGTCAGTTTTGTGCGACAATCTGCCGAGCCGTTTCATTGTAATTGGAAAAAAAGCTTTTCGTCCACATTTAACCTCATACTACCGAATCGATTAAAAAAAATCAAAAACTGTTTCAAGGATATTAGTTGGGAATGATACTGATTAGTTTTAGGTGAAAATCTACCGAGCCGTTTTCTTGTAATTAACTTTTGAAAAAAGATTTAAACTGATTTTTATGGAACTTTTTATGGCGATATATTAGGTTGTAAAATATCTCCCTTCCGCTTTTTTGCTCTGGTTTATAATACAAAAAGGCGGAAGGGAGATATTTGACAACCTTATATATCATGGTTTTATAGAACTTACTGAAATATTACGGCCTTACGATAAGTAGTTTAATTTTAAAAATTTATCAAAGTTTGGGAAAATCAGTAGTTTTTTTTGGCGTATGTTAAAATAAAATCAGACCTTTTACTTGGTATAATGATAAAGTACTTTGGGTCTTTATACCTGTTTATCTATGTCTTAATGAAATACTCCGAGTTAAAATGTTCGTTCGTTTTCAATTATTTGTAATAAATCTACTCGGAATACTGTTAATCACTCATAAATTAATTTATTTTTTTTATTGATTAAGTCGATTATTTACACATATCGGGGAAGTTCATGTAACTTGCTTCGAGGCAAAATACCAATACCAACTAGTTTTGTATGATTTGGTTTTATGACTGATACATCGTACATCAAACATTAAGTAATTGGATTGAATTCCACGTGGGCAAATGTTCAAATTACCATTTAATTTACTTTTCTCTCAGCTAACTAAATTAACAAAATTATGCTATTAGGCCGATCAAAAAAAAAGTGGTACAACCGTACCCAGTCTCTTCTACGTAACGTGTGAATTTGAAAATCATAAAATTTTTGATTTTCCAAACGAGAAGTTTATTTTCGCCAAAAAATATGATAACTTTTCGAGTCATTTTGAATCGTGTGTGACCAAAATTGCCACAAGTATGTATGTGTATGTGAGCCAAAATGTGACCTTTCTTCAAATCTCATGCACCGGTTTAAAAAATTTAAAAGCCATTCGATGAAACTCGATAAGAACATTGATTAGTTTTGAAAGTGGTTTCTTTATTATTAACAGATGAGTGCAAAGTTTTACATCCATGTTTCAACCAAAACTCTTAAACTAATTTTGAAAAACTTCAAAGTCTTTCGAAAGATTTGTATAGGAGTTTGTGCTGATTAGAATTTGGTATAGATCTTTCCTCAACGATTAATTGTTGACAAATTTTTATGACGATTTTGTTGAAACTTTGTAATGATGACAGAGTTCATGGTCTTAATGAACATACTACATAATTTAATCTGGACCTACGAGAAATAGTAATAAACGTTGTTAAAAAAAATTATTGAAGTTTTGAAAAATGGGCTTCTTGTCTAAGGCAAGTACAATATCAATTCGAAATCTTTATTAACTTATTAAATCTTTAACTATTACAAATTTCAACTTAACAGTTTGAAAATGTGTTAAATCTCAATTCTTACTGATTCTCAATTCTTATCGATCATTAAACATATCAGCAAATAATACAATTTGCCTTGTAACATACTACTTATATCTAGTTATATTTTGTTCAGTATGAACTTTATTTCATATTTTTTGATTTATTATTTACTATATTTATTTATGTATGATGAAGCGCCATATGGTAAATTGTTGGCTTCCAAATATCTTTTTTCAATTTTCCGCGTTCAGTGTTTTAATAATTGGGTTTGTATATGTCGAAACTGATGATACTTTATAAAATATTCTATTAACTTATTTGCTACTTAAAAGTGAAAAGCCTTACCGTTGGTATTCCAATTTTTGTGATTTGAATACATTAGTTTATAATATGCTTCTTTAATAAAATAATATAAAGGGTATTATCTTTCATTCAAATTCCCCAAGTTGAATAAAGAATGAAAAGCTCCTGTGCCGCACCGTTTACATGACAATGCTGTATTATTGACGTTTTGTTTTCATAATATAATTTTTTATTATTATGATTAATAGTTTTTAATCTTTTGATTAAAACATTAATAGCTATACGAATCGCTGTTTTAATTTTAGTGTCTGGTTTATAATTTATATCATTAAAATTAACTTTGTATATATGAGATAGGATGGGATACAAATTTCCAATTTGGCTTTAAATAATTATACTGTCTAAGCCAAATAAACGACATCACAACACATAACATGAATCAAACAAACAACTATCGAACTAATTATAGAAATGTTTTTTTTTTACTATTTTTCTAAACTTTGTCATCTGTCACTTTTTACTCCATAGGCGGGATAAAATGGGACAGCTAGATAGCAAACAGATTCAATGTCTTATTTTTAATTTTGAAGGGATTTTATGAAATAACAGCAACAATATTCAACCAATGCGAAATATAAACTTCATAGATACATTTTTACAAAACTTACACTATATATAACCTTGATCTGGTATTTTGTCTGAAATATTTCAGCAGAGTTGGAAAAACTATTAATTCAAGTGATTTCTAGTAAATTGCTTTTTTAACCGAATGTAATGATTTTTTTTGTTTACGTCTTTGAAGTAAAGTAGGGTGAAGATGAAAGAACCACATAAGTTCTTTATTCCCCACCCACATGTAAGTTATTATAGAGGTTATAAAAACATCTGTTAAATCTAACTTAAAATTGACAATACATCTTATAAAACAATTAAATAACGTATACTTCAAATGTATATTAAAGTCTCGTAAACTAAACAACAGTGTTCACAACAAAAAAACTAGCAGTGAAAGAAAATGCTTTTGTTATAAATTTTCAAACATAGCCGTTTATCTCTTGATGGCGACGTGGCTTTCTCTCTCTTTCAAATCTTTTCCTCTACTTTCAAATATTCTTGTTAAAAAATTTATTTGTTCTTGAGATATTGGAGGTAGACCTTTTTACACGCGAGCCCTCAAGCCTTGCTCTACCTTATATATAATAGCCATTAAAAAAACTTTCCTTCTTTAAACATAATTATTTAAAAGTGAAGGTATAAAAATTTGAATTGACAGCAGAAAAAAATGACAAAAAATCACGGTGCCAGCTTTACGGATGTGAATAATAACTTCGAATATTTTGCATATGGCACAGTTGCCATTTCTTTTCACTTCCTTATTTCTACAGGATTATTTCCACAGAACTTGCTCCCGGGTATGCCCTTTGAAACAATCTGCATATTATAACACGGAAAATAAAAGAACATCAAGTGTAGCTCAGGGTCTTCTTACTTCTTGATAAAAGGCTAAAACGGCCGACTTAAACTGTTTTTTCTTTTATAATTAGCATACATTTGGCACTAAACCCGTTATACAAAATTTTATTTGAAAGTGTTATTAGTCAATATTTTTAACGTTTGTTTTTTTTACTATAATTGTGTTAAAAACTTCTATTATATAAAGTTCATTATAATTTTATTGAGGGCTCTCCCTTGGTTTCAGCTATGGGATTTCAATTAGAGGTCTAGTAATGACATAAGTTTTCACTTGGAAAAATAGACTGCAATATGTTTTCAAGTAAAATAAGCTTTTGCTCGGCATTGCTACATCAACAATAAAAATTATCACTATTACTTGAATTGTAATAAAAATTCATTAGATAGAGATAGAACAACCGTTTTGGTTGCCATTTACAAATTTAACGAAGTTAGTTAAGCCAAATCATCACAGCAAATCATAGAAATATAAAGTTCTGATCACTGTACAAATAATATATTTATAATATGAGTTTTATGCATTTGCTATATTTTGTGTTACTGTATATAATTTTATGTGTGTACAATATGTTCCTACAGGCCTTTCATATCAACAAGCATATTATTATCAGTATAAATATAAGTAATATGAACTTGCTTGTTTCACTTTTTGTTCGGGGAATTGATATCAAAATACTAATAATGAATCCGATACATAGTTGCGAATATAATTACCTTACATTATAATTAAACAATGATGTTAGCAAATAATTTAATTTTTCAATAATTCTAATAGATAGAGAATCTCAAGAGCCCCAATGGAATCCCAGTGATCAAGCGACCTCACAAGATGATTTGATGCTGCGCCAAATTCACTACAGAAAATATCACAAACCAGGTTTATCAAAACCTAATTCACAATTTTGATAACATTTTTATTTCAGAACTAACAAACTAATAACTAAATCCCTAAATGCATCATATGGATCTTTCGCTAACTTTTAGATACAACTAACATTCAATCTTTATATATTCAAGTAACACTAATTTTACTTATCAAGTTATTAACATGAATTGACAGTTTAGCATGATGTGTGTCTATCATTGGGAAAAGTTTTTGGTGATTTACTAAATAAAAATTGACAAAACTTAGCAATAAGCATATGAATTATCACATTTTGTTGACTAATTCGATAGAATTCGTGATATAGTACATAGGCTAAATTAAATCGTGAGAAAATGAAATTTATTGATATTCAAATGATGGAAAAAAATTACAAGAGTTTTTAAGAGGCACAACTAGTGTAACCGTTTAAAAAAATGTGATTTTTGGGAATTTATATTAAAAAAAAATACTTTATCAATCATTTCAAAATTTTAGGAATATATTTATACATGTTTTAAGAATACATAGTAAAATTTTTGAAAAAAAATTAAATATTTTTTAAGCTATCGTCACTCTCCAACGGCGCAACAAAATAAAGGCCCTTCACTGCTGCAGTGATTCCTTCTACGTGGATGAAATTTTAAAAAAAAATCTCGTTAAACTAGATAATATTGTCTGTAAAATGAACTACGATAAAGAAAAAAAATCAAAAATTGACAAAATGGCGGCGTTTTTTAAAAAGTCGAATTTTACCCAAAATGTTGGTCGTTTTTGGACTGCCAAAATTCGATTTTTGATCCGATCAAAATATTGATAGTTTATTTTACGGAGAACTATATATAGAACATGTAAAAAAAATGATAGTGATCGGATCATTTGTTTTTTAGTAATCGGTGCAGCGAATTTGGGAAATGCTGTTTCGAAAAAACGCGTTTGAAGATAAAATGATCGTTATACTATATACTATATATATACTATTTAAATGGCTGTAACTCAAACTATTTAAGATATCGATTTAAAATTTGGTATGTTATTTTTAAAGGTATAACCTATCGAAATATGGAAAAATTGAAAATTCGATTTTTTGAAAATTTCACACTAGTTGCGCTCCTTAAATAGGTGAACTTTTCAATCCCTGAAGCGCAAAGGCGTTTTAAAACTAAGGTTTAACTACATTGTAATAATAATAAATAATAACTTTGTGTAATTAATCATACCATCAAAGTGAATAATTTGCCTTATTAACAACAATTGTTTAGATTTTTTAAAATTTAAACTTAAAAATAAATTATAAGGTGCCTTACCGATGTAAACATTTATACCATATATTAGTTCCAGACGTTTTAAATATATTTTTATTATCTATATATGTTCGTTCCAGTTAACCTTATAAAAAGCTTTTTGTCGAATTATCAATCGAGATGCTTGATTCTGAAGTTGGCTTTATAAACATTATTTAGTTTCACAGCTTGACCAAGGAAAGAGTTTTGTTAATTTTATAACTAACATTAATAACCTGTTATTTATTAACATCTTTTGTTAATACTGACTTCGTTAATTTCAGTACCGACTGCAGCCATATTAGGTGGTCCAGATTTACATGTCGATAAAGGTAGCACCATCAATCTGACTTGCGCCATACACTTCAGCCCTGAACCTCCGGCTTACATATTTTGGTATCACCATGATGAGGTAATAATGGATTCTTATATATATATATATATATATATATATATATATATATATATATATATATCTTATATACAAAATTTGTGTGTAACAAAGTTCGTTCCCGTACTCCTCCGAAACGGCTTTACCGATTATTATCAAATTTTATATGCTCATTCAATAGGTCTGAGAATTGCTATCTACTTTTCATACCCCTAAGTTGTTCAAAGGGTTGTTCACCATTCTTTTTATTTTTTAGCCAATTTTCTAGTTTTTATTTTTGATAATGTGGCATTAAAAATACTTACAATCCTAAGTTTTACTTTTTTATCACCAACTTCCTTTTTTATAGCCATTTTAGTAATTCAATCATTCTTTATTCCGCGATCAGTCATTGAATATTTTCAACTTGACATAATTTTAGTTCAGATTCTTGAGCTTGAAAAAAGCTTGAATCTTTAAAATACAATTTATTAATATTAAGAGTTGTTCAACCCTAATTTTGGGGTCGATATTTTTTATTTTTATTTTTTCAATGCGGAATTGACAATAGAACTTTTTTTATTAAGTGTTGTCAACCCCTATTTTCTTTTAATGGCTTTAGCTGGTTACACAAATTTTGCCCTTTATAATAAAATAGTATTGTTAAAAATTTGCAAACTTTACTTGCTTTTGAGATAATGGTTCTTTAAGCGGATCTTTAAGCCCCGCTCTGCGCTACCGATTTTGGCATTTCGATAGCTAGTGTACCAGATGTAATAGTTCAAAAGAGTTGTAGGTGTGATAGATTAAATTGTTTATTAGACAAATGATTAAAATTTGAAAAAAAATTAAATGTTTTGAAAATAATTATCATATAATAATATATATATATATATATATATATATATATATATATATATATATATATATATGGGGCTGGTCTTTAATATGCACGTTTTTAAATTTCTTTACTCCCAAGGGCTCAAACGCATCCAAATTAATAATAAAATAAATTTCTAATAGTTTTAGCTCTTAATATTAACATTTAGATAGATCGCACGTCAATTCAGTTTCATATATTTATTATTAACATATGTCATTAAGTGAATTCTTGCGCGATCTGTAATAGCAGATATTAGCACGTGTAGTTTTGTTGGCAATTTATTACTGATAATTTGAGTGTCTACATCTCCAATTAAATAAATATTTTGCTGCAAAATTAATTTTGATTCCATGATAAATAAATATTTCGTTAAACATGGATTTAATTAGAGGTTAAGTGAATCACAAATATTTTTAAGCGTCATAAAATTTGAGTTCACAAATCCTATCACAGGTGGCGCAAGAATTTACTCAATGACATATGTAATAAAAAATATATGAAACTTTAAATTAAACTTTAAGTGCGGTCTATGTAAATGTTAATATTAAGAGCTAAAACTATTAGAAATTTATTTTATTATTAATTTGGATGCGTCTTACGGAAACTGGTTCAATTATAAAAATCATTAATTTGCTTTTAGAAAATACTTTGAGTTAACGTGATTGTTTGTTCTCAATTATGTGTAATAAAATCACTCGGAATACTTATAATCACTCATAAATTAATTTATTTTTTATCGATTAAGTCGATTATTTACACATATCGGGAATTTCACGTAATTTACCTCAAGGCTAAATACCAATAGCAACTAGTTTTTTATTAATTTGGAAGTATTACCTTGGGAGCAAGGAAATTCGAATTATGGGCTACCCTAATATATATATTTATAATTATATATATATATATATATATATATATATATATCATAGGTAATGAAATATAATTAATTTTAGTCTCTTAAAAGCTACTTTCGATATTTTGTCTTTTGCATTGCCCATAAGCAGCCAATCGTCTAAATCAGGGCTTCTTAAACTTTTTTATATGGCGACCCCCTTCAAGCTTAGGAAATTTTAAACGACCCCCTCCTCCAAATAATAAAATATATATTAACCGTTATCGCACTATTTTACAATGTAAATAAAATAAGGATTGAAGAATATGTGCCCATTCATGTTATATATAATTGGAAACGTTGACATAAAACTATATATATATATATATATATATATATATATATATATATATATATATATCTTATATATAAAAATGGATCGCATAACTCAACAACGCCTGAACCAATTTGGCCAATTCTTTTTTTAAAATGTTCGTTGAAGTCCAAGAATGGTTCTTACGGCGAGAAAAAATTGAATAATTGCCGGGAAAACCCTAAAAACAGCCCTTTTCTTTTTTAATCGAGTAAGCAACGAAATTTGTAGAAAAAACAATAATCTATGTCATGACATTTTGTGTAGTTTTTGATAATCTAATTTTTAATATATTTATATAAACATAGAAATATCTTTCTATTAATTAACGAGCTATATTGGCAGCCAAAAACATTGATGTAAATGAATTAAATTTCAAAATTCAAGAACAAATTACAGGCGAATCAGTTGATTCTACAACTAACCAAGACGATCTACCGGAGTTTTTCAACTCGCTGGATTTGCTAGGATTGTCACCTCACAATCTTCAATTAAAGGTTGGATCGGCAATTATAATGTTGCGAAATATCGTCCAACCGCGCCTTTTCAACGGCACAAGGTTAGCGATAAAAAAAACTACCAAACAACTTGATGGAAGCAACTATATTGAAAGGATAGTATAAAGCAGAAGATGTTCTCGCACCGTGCATCCCAATGATTCCGACTGATGTGCCATTTGAGATTAAACGACTACAGTTTCCAATGCGTTTATGGTATCATTGAGTGTCTGTGGTATTAATTTGGAAAACCCATGTTTCTCACATGGAAAATTGTATGTTGTCTATTCCCGTATTGGAAAACCATCCGATTTGTTTGTCTATGCGCCAGGTAATCAAACAAAAAACAACGTTTATCACAAAGCACTACAATAAAAATTGAACTGATTTTTTAATTATGATTTACATGATTAAAATTACTTACTTTTAAACGCTTATAGTGTTTTATTTAATTATTTTTAATTCACACCGAATTATTACCAGGGTGACGGTTCTGTTCAGGATAATTTTTTCAAAGAATAGAAAAAAGGTAGGAACAAAACACCGCCACATTACAATTTTTTTTGACAGGACGAAGTCTGTCGGGTCGGCTAGTATATATATATATATATATATATATATATATATATATTTATTTATTTATTTATTCAATAGAAAAAATAAACTTTTGTAACAAATTCTTTATAAGAAAACATAAAACTATATCTACATATTCAATAGAAAAAATAAAATTTTGTAACATTTTTTAGTGAAAACCTATTATTAACATCAAACAATAGTAATGTGATGAATGTGATTGTTTATTTTTACACAAATAATTAAATCTAGGCTCAATTTAAGTTAGTGCAGATCGTAATAAATTTTCAACGTATATTAAAGTTGAACGGTATTTTGATTTTATGTAAGTTAATGTAGAAGAGGCTGATTCACATAAATATGTTGCACAAATTGGCAGTAATTTGTTTATTGCCATAGTAGGGAATATTCTGATTTGATTTCAATCCAAAATTCATGCACAGACACTTGAAAAAATCTGAGTCGCACGTATCACTTGTTAATTCGGTAAATTCTTCTTGTGCTTTTAAGTTTAAAAAATTAATTTCTTCCATTTCAATTGAAAATGGATTGCAAATTCATTGTTGTATATTGATATCATTGAGAAAATACCTATGCATGTAAACTTCCATATTCTTCAAATGATTAACTATAATTTTTGTTATAGGAGTATCTTTTTTTGAAATATTGTTGCTAATTATATACTCGTCAGTAAATGGAAACATTTCGAGCGATCCACTTTCCACTCTGTTTTTCCATATAAGAAATATTTTAACAAAGGCCTCAAGTTTATTTTTTAACATAAACATTTAACGCAGACTCCCTGCATTGATAAATTCATATCATTGATTTTATCAAAAATATTAGCCAAATAGCATAGCTTGAGAAGCCATAAATTATCGTGAAAATAGTCTGCCTAATAATACTAATTTTAAAATATTGTTTATAATAATTGAAAAGTATCAGATCTTTGCGACCCCTCTTTAGTAGTCTCGCGACCCCCACTTTAAGTAGCCCTGGTCTAAATAAGTCTTTTATTTCGACGATTGGCTGAAAATCAATATTCTCAATAAATATATAATATATATATATATATATATATATATATATATATATATATATATACGTGCTTTAATGATAGTCTGCGATGTCTAAGCTAAACCTGAAGACATAGTAAAACATGTTGTCTCATCGAGATGTTAATTATTGCAATTTCAATAAAATCTAATATTTTGTTAATTATCACAGGTAATAAGTTACGATTCGTCAAGAGGTGGTGTGTCGGTGATAACCGAAAAGGGCGAAGTAACCACGTCATATCTTCTCATCCAGCATGCCGACTTACCCGATTCCGGAAAATATTCCTGTTCCCCATCGAATGCAGATGTTGCTAGCGTTCGAGTTCACGTCCTGAATGGTAATATAAACATTTCAAACTGCTTGACATTTTCTTCGTACGATTTTTTTTTTCAAAAAAGCTATTCATATAGTGTATGATAATTCAAACTGAAATTGCTTGTAAATGTTTTAGCCTAAATACTGCAAATTAAATATATATTTTTTTTAATTATCTTGAGCTAAATTAATTTTAAATATTATATTATAATAATCAAAATGCTATATATCGATTGATTACACCAGCTTTCACTTCTAAACTACAATCAAATTATTATTACTGTCAATCATTCAATTTTTTGTTATATATTTAAGATAAATACATATACAGGGCCGGTCCTGCCTTGCATGCGATATGATAGTATTGCTCGTAACTATCACCAAAAAAATTAGAAAAAAAAATTATATAACGTAGTATGAAAATTATGGGCTTTTATGTGCAGCCCAGAGCTTTGGTCAAACAGTGATCAATTTTCGATTATTGTGATCAATTTTCATTATTTAGCTCATGATTTTCAAACTACGTGAGACATTTTTTTCAGCAGACTCTGCATTGGCAGTGGCTATTTAGTGTTTTTGTTCATCAAAATCGATTCAATCTTTTATTCAAAAATGAGATTTTAAAAAGTGTGGGAAAGAGAATATATTCAAGATTATCAATTTTTTCGTTATCGCTACGATTACACTTACAAGTTTAGCACTTTTTATTTTTTCTTGGAACTTTTTTTTTTTTAATCTACTTAGAATTGTACGCTGATTTCAAATAACATTTCGCTTTTACATAACAGCTCCCGTTTTTGAGTTTTAGTGAACTACCCTCATTAGTCATATAGGCTGTGATTATCGCAGTTTAACAAAAGAGTAAGAGTTTTATCTGCTGTTTTTAGCATGAATTCTTCTCTAAGACGTTGTTTGCATAAATCAGACAGTTTTTGTTACATATGTTTTCGACAAATACCTCTATCTAATTGCGTAAAGGCAGCCTGTTTTTTTCTGTGTGGTGAATATCAATGTAATAATTTCGAGCAATAGAAGCGAATGATCAAATACCACGACTCCAATGGTTTTGGGGTCTATTTGCATCACCATCTTCTGTTTACCATGTAATGGATTGAGAGACCAACGTTGAAAGCAAAGCCAGGAACAGTTAAAAACTAATAAATTTGATCATCCCCAAATCGGCAGCTTATAAAAGATCCAAAGTTACATGAATTCTATTAATAAATTTGTGAAGAAAATCAGGAAGCAATTCGTTTTGGTGGTAACCAATTTTCTGTGAAACAAAAAATACCGTAGCTTTATTAAACTTGCCAAATGCATGTTATCCAATTTGAATGATCCAGAATGCAATACAGGCATCAAAAGTTATTATCTGCACTCTCATGTTATCGAGATGTTAGCGAAGCGCAGGGCGAGAGTACCGCCAAGACATGAGGACTAGGGAATGCAATACCGATAGAAAATTTCAATACCGGTATTTCGGTAATTTTGCATTTTAAAACCGGAATACCGGTAAATTACCGGTATTTTTATTATCTTCAACAAACGTAAACAAAATTGAAAGTTACTAGTACAAATATAAAAAAATGTATATACAACTACAACTATATTCAACTAAACAATAAAATAAAACAATAAATTCATTTTTTTAAATAATAATTTAACAAAAGTATATGCAATTTAATTAATTCATTATCACTATCAAGTATATTGAGTACTTTTCATCAAAAACAAACTTATGAGTAAGAAAGACCAAAAACTCATAAAAGATCATATTACATTATTATAATAAACTGTATTGTCTGTATCCGATGTGTTAAATTAGCATAATCTCCAATATTCTAAAAAAATAATTTTTCTACACTAATTTAAGATTGGATACTTTGTCGAGATAAATAATAAGTAACTATAATTGTTGAGTATTGTTATTTAAAACAATGTGATGCTTTTATAGTATTTTCAAACTTCGAAACGTTGTCGAAAAATAATATTTTATAATTGGAATAAGAAGCAAAAATATTTAGTAATTATCATAATTATTATGTATTAAGTTAGAAAAAATAAAGATTACTTAAAAAACCGTTACATTTTTACAAAAGATGAAACAAACAGAATTATTTATCAGTCCTATTCTATTTATTGTAACACGATATGAAGCCTTTTGGAAAGCAATAAATATTCAGATTAATGACGAGTTGAGATAATATTTGACATTTGTTTATCTTATAGAAGCACGTGAAGATATGGCTGTTAATGCGATTATGGAATTTAAAGATAAAGTTCCGAGAAATTTAAACATTTGGGTATTATGTATCAAATAGCGCTTATGTAAAATTACCGAAAATACCGGTATTTTTGGAATAAATACCGGTAAAAATACCGCCGAAAAATCGGGCGGTTTACCGGTAATTCGGTATACCGGTATACCGGTATTGCATTCCCTAATGAGGACTATGGAGGAGCGATATGAATGAAGGTGGGACGTTTACAAGATGGCTAACAATTGTCGGAGACAAGATCAAAAAACTTTCGAATGCATAAAATAAAATATGTGTAATTTTTTATTGTAATATGAGGTAAAACTAGCACATTGGTATATCTAAAAAACTAAAGCTGTTAAAAAAGTTCTGTTACTTTTTTTGGAATCAGCGTCCTTAAATTACTCATACAATCTCAGTAAAAAATTAGTGTCACGAAGTGTTATCGTAGCGACTCGTATGCATGTTTTGATTGTGAGTAAAAGGTGTTGTTGAGAGATGAGCAAGTGAATGATAAATGTTGATTACAGGTGAGCGGCCAGCCGCAATGCAGACCGGCTCGGGCTGCTTGTGGAACTGCTCATTGAACATGATCGCACTGATCGTGGCGTCTCACCTGTACGGGCTCTTCTACGAGTCGCTCTACCTGGCGCCGGAGCGGTAATCGCCCAACCATCGTCCTGTCAATCATCTTCAACACTGGCAGTCCGAACCAATTGCTATTATGTTGCTAGTGTTAATATTGATTTTAACGGGCGTCGTGCCCGCCGTGGTGCACGTACTGTGTACTATCCCATATTAAACTCGTTGTGATGTTCGGTGTTCTCTTCTTAGTTGAGAGCTCCCGATTTATGTATTGCCTAATCCGATATGCAAAGTATTTCAAAATGATTGGCAAAAAACTAAAAACCAGCTTAGGCAAAAATAAACTTTTCACATTAATAAGATATGTGTATCTTTAATATTTACTACTGTTTTAAGTAAATAAATGCATTGCTGTTAATTATTTGAAAAGGTAACTATTAAAAATTCATTAGCAAATAAATTTAGAATATTGTATATATTTGATAGACGTATTTATATGATGAGTTGATTTTTCCGGAGGATTAAATTTTATTATTGTTGGGAAAATACTATACGGTTGTTAAAATTATTTTGTTGAAATAAATATTTGATATATATTGATTTCTACTTTTGATTATTAACATCTACTATTTTACTTCGCGCGAGATACAACATATTATACCACATAGTTAATAAAGATTTCTGTCGCGTCACAATTATCATAATGGATCGTATTTATGTTCAATTTAAAAAGCATGAATATCAATGTATATTTAAAACCATACTAATGTATTATATATGAATAAGAATATAGATATAGATATATACATAGATGTCATTACATGGAGTAACACTCAAATTATATAACATTATAACTTCATAGCGTGGAAAAGTTGGAATTTGCATATTTTTTGAAGATGTTTTAAAACAAGAAGGATGCGTTATGTATAGTAAAATAAATTAAATGAAGTTATTTTATATGAATCTGACGATTGCTCATCAACTATTGTTTGAAAAATATTATGTATATTTCTTCATTAAAAAACTTTGAACGAATCTTTATGTAAATATATTCAATTTAAATTCGAAGTATTGTTTCATTATTTTTACTTTTCAAACAACAATTTTTCATTTTGATTGAAGCACTTCTTAACGATGTGTATTTAAATACACAAATTTAGAATAAATTTTGGGACAAAAATCGATACTGTATATCTAGTTTTTTATTAACCGATTTATTTAAATTATCAAAAAAAAATTTTTTTTAATTTGTTTTTTAAGTTGAATTAAGTGCTTTTTTAAATTAAATAGAATTATTTGGATATAAAGTGTCGATCAAAGTCTAGATAATGATTGTTCAAAATTTTGTCCTGAATGTGAGCATAATTTCATAATATTGCCAATATTAGGGAACGCGTAAAAACAATATTATTGAAATAAAATTTATATTTCAATAAATGATGAAAACATTATTAGATAAATAAAATTTTTAGCATAGTCTAATAATGGTATATGGGATATTTAATATATTAATATATATGGAACATGGAATATAACGAATTTCAAACATTCTTAATGTAATTTGAATAATGTTACTAAAGTAAATCATAAAAGTTTTAGCCTTTTAGTACATTATAATTATTGATTTAAAATATTTTTTGTTCATGTTTTTATTGACTCATGACAAAATGATGAAATGTACTGAAATACGCGAAAATAGCAAATATCGAATCGTCCTTTTAAGGGAAAATCTGGAAATGTGCAATATTTAGTACCTATATTTATTATACATAATTATAATTTGTTTATATTGTTAATAAATATTATTTTATATTTGATCGAATTTTATTTCAGCTGACTTAACAAAGAATCTAATCTTACTCTGTGACCTCATTAATCATATACCTCAAATTGCATGAAACGCATTCAACTTCTAAATTACTAGAGATATTGGTTTGATAGATCTCAAGCAGATTTTAATAGCCAAGAGGACAGAAACCGTTTTTTAATATTTGTCAAGTAAGTGCTTTTAAGTGATATTAATACGCCGACTAGGAAGTTTATACTTTATGCAGATATTTTATAAAGCTCTATATTATTTGTTTATACAGTCTGGGGGTCCGTGCCATCTATATAGAGTTGCTCTAAAAATTATCACAAAACTTGATTATAACTTCTATATCAACGTAATTATAACCATTTATAATTTTTCTGTTCCAAGTCTTGTTCCCACATATCAAAATCTACAATAAATATAAATATAGGTAATTATTTAATTAGAGATATGAAATATAAGAAAAGAAGTGCAATGAATGTACAATGTGCTTTTGAAAATAATTCCAGTAACTATAGACTACGAAAGATAAATAAACAAATGCTGACATGATGAACTTAAAGAGAGTATTTAGCAAAAAGTATATATCTCAAAATTGAACAAAAATTGTAACCTAAGCATTGTAAGTTGATCAAAGAGATTATTTAATGTTACATGAAGTAGATATTAAGACGAAATGTGTAAATTATTGTACGCGTGTAAAAGTATTTATTACCGTTTGCGTGAAAAAGTATAGCGAATATTTGATTTTTAATTCTTTTTTACTTTTGATTTTTTTTTACTTTTACACTGCATACCAGTCAATACCGTTTCTGCATGTTACAACTAGCTCCAGATTTTATTACAACTAACCATAAGTGTGATTTTTTTTACATTAATCAAGATATTTTTTTAAATATTCAGCAAATGATTAGATTATATTATAAGAACGATGAATTTGAAAAGAAACTAGTGATGCATGGATGGCATCGTGCCTTAAGACAATTTGCTGAAACGGTACGGCAGCCGTAATTAAACAGGACTGATAATATACAATGATTATTGAAAATGTTTCAATAATTAAAAACAATTGTTTTAAATATTTTCAAATAAATTAGTATAAATACTATAAATTTATAAGTGCTTATTTAATGGGGCGACAGACGTAACTCATATTTATGTTAAAAAAAATATTGTTCAATTTTTTTTTTAATTTGTTTTTTTGCTAATTTTGAGTTTTTTTTCAAAATATTTTCTTCTTTTTAAAAGTTTAACTTTTCTCATTTTTTTTGAGAATTTGAAAATTTTTGAAAATTATCGATTTTTTTTTTTTTGAAGATTTTTAAATATTCTAAAATTTTTGTAAGAAATCGTTTTTTTTTTAAATTTGGTGTGTAGAAATGTTTCAAAATTTAGATTTTTTTAAATTATAAAAATCTGGAAAATTTGAATTTTTTGTAAATTTGATTTATTTTTTTTTTTGAAAATTTTGAATTTTTTTCCTTTTGAAAATTTTCAGAATTTCGAAATTTCTTATAAACGCACTTTTTTCACAAGTGTCTACACAAGCAAAATGTTTTTTGAATTAATCCGATGTTTTTTTGATTATTCTAATCGGATAATGCGTTCTCTGAAAAACTGCAGGACCATTTTTACACCCTTTGTGCTCCACACCTTCGAAACGGCTAGACGTGCCTTTTGCGAAAACACCTCACGATCGAGTACGAACCGAATGTTTTTTTAATCTTTTAAATCAGTTATTCTATCAGTTAGTCGAAAATGTTGAGGATATATGTTTGAAACACACACATTTAAAATTAAAAATCTTGGTACGAAACCCAAAAAAAATAACACAAAAATATACGCAATACAAGTAAAATGTTTTTTCAATTATTCAAATCGGACGCTCCATTCTCTTAAAAACTGAATTACCACTTTTGGTTCTTTCTGCCCTGTATTTTCGACGTGGCTAGAACTGCCTTTTCCAAAAACTAATCAACACGTCTGCTTATCAAGACGAATCGAATGTTTATTTGCCGGTGTCGGCAAGACAAAGCGCTTGTTTATATGTTTCGACATTATAAAATTATTTTGCGTCCACGAGCTTGTTATATTTGTACTAGAATTCGGTCCTTGCTTGAAAATACAACAATTGATTGTTTATATTTTTAAGGGCATATTTTAATAAACAAAATATAAGTTATTAATTTTTTTTTTTTTTAAATATATAATTTCATACGAGCCTATTTTATGTAAAATGTAACATAGAAGTTAATACATATTTTTTTTACCTTATATCTATCTACTCATATTTCCCATGTGATAAAATAAATAATATGTACTCATTTCAGAACAATATTTATTGAATTTCATATATTATTGGTTCATTTCAATATAAGAACTGCGGTAAATAAAAATATAACTAGTAAATTTTTGATTGACAATATACCTGTATTAATACCGGGATCCCGGTATGACAAATTTCAGATATTGAATGCCGGTATTCAGATTTTAGTACAGCATTGGATGCCCGTATTACTTACGTTTGGCCTAGCCCTAGCCATCGTATGCTTGTCCATTGTCCGTTAAGGTGTTAAATGTTACATTATCGCCATGGACGTTAAATATATAAATAAATGAAAAATGTTGTGACCATACTCGCTTGGTAAATTAAAAATTAACAAATAAAAAAAATTAAATTATTATGTATGTACGCTTGAAACAATATTTTATATATAAATAAATATTATATTGAAAGAAATGATAACTGAATAGAGATCAGAATATTGTAAAAATTGAACTAATATTATTTTGTTTAAAAAAAGTTTATATTCATTTTTGGTCTGAAATTTGGGCATATTTTCGTGCAAGAATCGGCCATCTTAGATCAAACTGTCGATGTTCGTATGTGAATTGTGTGTATAAAAGTTTGTTCGAAAAGTGCATTCTGAATTAGATTAACTAAGAATCGTTCATTAAAGATTTTTTTTTAATTTCAATATTTATTACAACTGTTAAATAATTTAACATCTAGTAATAATTATAAATGATGACATAAATTTAAATAAATAAAAATAGATAGAATAGATTATGGATAGAATTTACATTAAAATGACATCCGTCGTATGATGATTTATTATAAAATAAAAGCAAATAATAATATTAATAAAATTAATAAATAAAATAAATAAAATTTCTAAATAATAAAGTAATACTAGAAAAACAATAAAGTGGAATTGAAACAATAAGTGACAGATAATAATAAATATAATAAAATAACAATATTGGAAATAATAAAATAATAATATTAATAATAATAATAACAATCTTAATATTAATGTTAGCGTTTATAAATGGCTATTTATGAGATCATTGGGAATTTTTCGTTTTAGTCTGTTTGCGCGCTTCTGAAAATACTTTCTGTGCTAAGTAATTTGAGTCGTAAATTCTTCTTTTATAGTTTTCTGTTTTTTCTTGAATTACTTCATTTACTGTCATCATGTTGCTGTCCTGGTAAATCAACTAGTTGGGAACGTACCTGGGCGCGTTCAGTGCCTGCCGTATGATCTTGTTCTGCACTCACTTGAATGATCTGTATATTGTTTTTTTGGCTGTGGCCCATAGTTGAATCCCATAGGACCACACTGGTTTGAAAATACATTTGTAAATAATTAGTTTGTTGTTTGTCGACAGTTCGGATCGTTTATTCAGTAACCAGTAAT